CATAAAGTTTATTTTGGAAAAAACTTTTACCCTAAGTAAATCATTACCTCAACCAAATAGGAAAAGAGTTTGTAGGTGATGCTATATAAAGGGTGATGGAGAAAATTTGCCAAATAATTTTTCCATGAGAAGAAAACTCACTTTGTGAAAGTGAGAGTGCAATACAATGCCAAGAGAGAAAATACAATTGCAAGAAAAGTGTTTCTTGTTCTTCTACTTTGAGTTGAGATTTTTGAGAAAAATTTCAACACAATATTTTGTTCAATTTGTTCGCGGGTTTCATTGATCAAAGAGTTGATAGCAAGGATCAGTCTCGGTGTGGATACGCATAGAGTCTTCGCACTATCGAAGAAATTTTGAAACGGTACTCTCTTCATCAGGTACGTCTTAGATGTGATCTATTGACATGTAAATAAATTTTAAACATGAAAAGATCTGCCTAGAATTGTTATTGTCTTCCGCTGCGTGTTACGAACACCTATACACAATCCTTCAACAATATCTAAGGCCGAGATGGCCACTTCGTTGCCTCCTCTCATAACTTGTATCGTGTTTGCTTCGTGATCATTTTGCTTCTTCCAACAGCGCCTTTCATAACAATTTATTGCTATCTTAATCAATACAGTCACAAATATGACCACAAGCAAAAGTGCTCCTTCAAACCAGCCATTCTGCATACTTTCTTCATTGATTCCAAAAGCAAATGACAATATTGCAGCAACTGCAAGGAGCAAAATAGTTGGTTCCTTGCGTGCTAATTGTAGGAAGAAGTGGCCATACTCAGTGAAGGTCATGTGGTGAGACAAGTCTGTCCCCTTGCGGCGAGAAATGTCTCCAACATGAATTCCTTTCTCGACAGCACTACTCAATGCTTCTGCAACCCCCTTTACTCCTCCAAAATTGTGAAGTGAATCCATGTTCTTCTCCTTCGCAATCTCATTAATCTTGCTAATCTGTAAGCAATGCTGATGAGGCTGAAGCTCAATCTCAATATGATCATCGTCTGATTGTTCAATATTAACATGCCAGGCTCTATCAGGTGAAGCTGCCACATCTTCATCAAGGACAATTTGATCTCCAGAAGCTTCCAATTCCTAAGTAGAAAGAGAATAAAAGTAGTATTATTTGATGCATGCAGTATAACTTAAAAGATGGTACTGTAGCTATGAAGAAGGATACATACTCCATGTTGAAGATTAAAGCTGTTAAGAGGAGTATAAATGATGGTGGAGGATGAGGACACTCGAGAAAAGGATGCTATTCTTGCTCCAGCTTCAATGAACATCTGAGTAGATCGGACAATGAGGGCGGACCTCCTCATCAAAGAAGTACCCAATTGATCAGTAATTAGCAGCGGCGAACTCCCCTGAGCTTCAAGGTCAATTCCTCCAGTGTCTTCATCCTCCATCATCCTTAGCTGGATTGAACTTGTTTTTTTGGAGTTAGTACAAAACAGGAAAGCAGTTATCAGTATCTTACTATACGATAAAGAAGGGACAGAATCTGAGAAAGATATATATGATGGGGAATAATTGGAAAATGATCAACGTATATATTGGGAAGAAAAGGGATCTAGAAGGCGTTTAGACTTTAGACAAAGAAGAGGGAAACTTCCTTTACTCCTAGTCCATCAAACATGACACCATATACTTGAGATTGTACAAGTCAATTTCAATTTTACTTTGTGACCTCCAACAGCCTTAATAAGCATCAGCTCTTTAGTTGAAATTTACATATTTCAAATGCTAATGAAACATTCATATATACTTTCAGTCCATATATACCCTTGTCGTTGTACTATTGGTTCAAATATATCGTTAAGTTTGTCCAAATTGGACATCCAATCTTACATGGTACTATCATTTAATGAGGTGGATGTCATCAAAGACTCAAATTGGAAATATAATATTTTTCATAATATCGATAATGACAGCAACAGTGGTGGAGGGGAAGGAAGTTTTTGTTAGGGATATAGTAGATATGCCTTAGATCCAATATCATATTTGATGATTTGAACATATTTTTGTAAACGTTATTTGATATAAAATATATGGCATCTGATATTCTTTTATCATAGTTATTATTAATTGTTTGATTAACTTGATAAGGTTCTTGATTAAATTTTGAGACTTGTCATCGTGATGGAGATCATGATAATGAGAGTAAAGTTTCTTATAATTTAATCTAAATTTGTTCTTGATCGTAGGATTATTAATTTGGACATTAGTAATTCGGTTAGATCAATATTTATGTGATCGTCTTTATGGGATAAAGATTAGTTGATCTCATTAACTAAATTACATAGATAGATATGCATATAGAGATATGATCATTGAACCGACTCATTGGATAATTCCTAATGGTTAAAATTATCATAAACTGTCAATAGGATATTCTCTTGAAGAATGTGATGTAAAAGTTCTTTTGACCTGAGATCGTAATAGTAATTGACAAGTTATTTGTTGTGTTTTGATACCAGACACCTATGGCCCTAGGGCGATAGTTGAAAGGATATTGGGTATGATTAAATGCTTGTAGAATTAGTGATTGATCAAGATGGAATCTGTCAACTCTTGGTAATGAGTTTAAGCTCCATGTTGTCATGAATTATAAACGACCAAACTAAGACCTTGGCCAAGACAATTGAATGAAAGAAGAAATGAGTTTCTTAGGTCAATCAATGGTCGATTATATTTGACATGAACACATAGTTGGTCGCCTATTAGGATTTGACAGTTGAACCATACCCTAGGGTGATCCAGAGCTATAAGGACAGAAGGAATTAATATATTATTCTTCTACTGGTTCTTGAGAGTAAATTGTNGTTGATCTCATTAACTAAATTACATAGATAGATATGCATATAGAGATATGATCATTGAACCGACTCATTGGATAATTCCTAATGGTTAAAATTATCATAAACTGTCAATAGGATATTCTCTTGAAGAATGTGATGTAAAAGTTCTTTTGACCTGAGATCGTAATAGTAATTGACAAGTTATTTGTTGTGTTTTGATACCAGACACCTATGGCCCTAGGGCGATAGTTGAAAGGATATTGGGTATGAT